CCTTGTGCTTACCGGCAAGTGCTTATTCTACTGAGCCATCTTCCCAGCCCTGCATTTACTATTAATTAACTCCATGCTACCATCACCCCGAGTTAAGAAAATTCAGGGCGGGGTTCTTTTTCCCCTTTCTTCCCCTTAACACTAGTCTCAACCTCGAAGGCAGAATGGTCTCCTAAAAGTTGAAATCACATCGTGTCAACTCTCCTGTCAAACTCAAACGCGTTCAGTTTGCTGAACCCTCTCCCGCTTTTTACTTTTAAGCTCCGTAAAAACTGTCTTCTACTAATGGAAGTCTCGCTGGTGAAAGGGGGCAAACAGCATCATAAGGAAGACAGGTGCAAAGGAGGCGGAATGTAAGGTGAGGGACCAGGCCAGGTACTTTAAAACCGAAAGCCTGCGTGCCTTGGCCCTTCCTACTCCGAGCTCAGACCGCGCTGCGACGCCGCGGACTCCATTTCCCAGAATGCTTAGGGAGACAGCGGGCGGAAGGTAGTGCGCCCTCCGCGGGGCATGATGGGGGAGTTGGAGATTTCCATCATGGCGGCTTCCATTTCGGGCTACACCTTCAGCGCTGTGTGTTTCCACAGCGCCAACAGCAACGCGGACCACGTAGGTGCCGGGTCCCCTGCCGCGGCCGCTGGGGCCTTCACCCTTCGCCTCGGGCCAGCACCCGCGGCCAAGCCGGATCCGCTCACGGCTCGTCCCCCGGGGCCCCAGGGCGGGCCCGTTGAGCTGGGGACCCAGGCGGCTCCCGCCGCCGAGGAGCTCCTTCGTCCCCGGCGGACCCCCCTCATTCGAAGCCCTCCGCCTCCCGGCCGTCCCGGGACAGTAGTCCCCCGATCCAGCAAGCCTGTCCCTCCCGCGCCCTCGCAGTGTCAAGAGCCGCCTGATAGAACTGAACGCCCGCCCTTCCCTGAGTCAGGCTGGTAGACTTAAAAGGGGCGCCAGGGGTCCGTCTAGAAGGAGTCGAGAGGCCGGGCTTTCTGTGTGCGACCGGCGCTGGACCCCGCCCTCTGGTTTCACATGTTGTCCTGGGTTAAACCATGGCTGTCACTATTCATGCTTGTTAGGCGCGGTTTTGCGTTCATTTTTTTCGCCCCACTGGAAAATGGAGACTGCAAACAGGAGTGTTCGGTGCAGGGGTCTGTTTACATTAACATGAAGTTGCATCTTTGGTTCCTCGGCGAAGGTTCCAAGACCACGGAACTAATCGCGGTGAAATAGGGAAGTGACAGGCCCATGTCTGAGTGATGAGAAATGCAAAGGCTTTCGAGCCCACGAGGGGAGCAGATCCTCTCTATGTCAGTGAGTTTATTTTACGAATTGCCTTTTAATGTCACCAGCCTCTACTTGGAAATTTTTTGTGACACTAGATATTTTTTCTCCTAAAAGAGGCATTTAATTGGGCCACCAAATTGAGGAGGGAGTTATTTTAAGTGTTGTCAGTAGTGAATGCCTCAGATTCATTAAATTAGTGGGTGGGTTTTCTGTGGCAGTCATAGAAAGCAAAATCATACACTGAAGGAGGAACTAGACTTGGTTTGATGTCAGCAGTGTTAGCTTCCAGTAATAAAAACTGATTTCATAGAGAGACAATTCAACTAGTAAATTGATTGCAATTAAATTATTGTACTTTTCTTTAGTGTTGATAGTAGACCCTAATGATAAGAATATGTACAGCATAGTTTGTTTTTTTTTCCAAAAGCAAATCTGAACACTGGCCTTTGGTTCTGCAGCCACCTATTTGATAATATAATACAGCTCAATATATAAGTGGGTTTTTTTTTGTTTTTTTTTTTTTAAGATATGGAACGCTTCACGAATTTGCGTGTCATTCTTGTGCAGGGGCCGTGCTAATCTCGGTATCGTTCCAATTTTAGTATATGCGCTGCTGAAGCGAGCACAATATAAGTGGTTTGTGATACCCCTAATATTCCACAGGCTATTAAATAAGAATTCAGTGATGCTTCTTTACCCTTAGTTTGTAAAGTGCCTAATAATGTCACAGTTTATGTATAAAGCTAATTTATATATACCTGCTGAAAAATGAACGTACTGCAGTGAGAGGGCCATATTACTTAGATTATTATTAATTTAAGAACTATACCTTAGTATTTACTGTACTCCATTCCAGACACATTGCTGGACTTCATGGAAATTTTTAGCAGTACCAATAGATCACAATTGTTTTGTATACAATGCCAGTTCATGTTAACCCTACCACAATTATGGGTGTGTAATGTGTGACTCTTTCAGTCTCTGTCTCTTTTTCTTTTTCTCTCTTCCTGTGCTGGAGATCAAAACAAGAGCTTCATGCGTGCTAAGCAAGCCTTTGCTCAGCCTAGTAAAAGGAATTTCAGTTTTAAAATTGAACCAGGAATTTACTTTTTAAAAAATTATTTTGGTTCTTGGGATTGAATCCAAGGCTTGGGGTCTAAGCAAGCACTGTACTGCTGAGCTACATCCACAGGCCTAGGAACTTCTGTAATACATATTTTTTTGTTCATGTAAGAAATTAATTCAGGAGGGCTGGTCAGATAGCTCAGTGGACTAAAGCTGCCTGTTTAGGCAGACACAGCAACCAAGGTTTGATCCCTGTTGTGTAGTGCCAGCCCTGCCCCCGGGGTGCACTGAGAAGGGGACTGAGACTGGGTTTGGTGATGCATGCACCTGTAGTCCCAGCACTGGAGAGGCTGAAAACAGGAGAATCACTGTGAGTCGGGTCTATGTAGTGAGACCCTGTAGACCCTGTACCAAATACATTAAAAAAGAAATTAATTCAGTGGGGCATGGTGGCCTGCACCTGTAATCCCAGCACTTAGCCTAAAGGAGCCCTTTGAGTTCAAGATCATCCTCGACTACATAGGCCAGTTCAGGGCCAGCCTGAATTATGTATCTTTTTTCAAAAGAAATAAAGAAGAAATATGTATGTATGTATATATTTTAGTACAGGGTTTCACTAGGTAGATTGGACTCATAATGAGATGCCTGTGTTTAGCCTCTCGAAAGCTGGGATTACATTTTTTTTTTTTTTTCCTGAACCGGGGATTGAACTCGGGCCCTTGCACTTGCCAGGGAAGCGCTTATTTCACTGAGCCATCTCTCCAGCCCTGAAAGCTGGGATTATAGACAGTCCTGTGCCACCACACCCAGTCTCAGTTGCCATTTTAGCATGCCCTGGGGGCGGGGCTGGCATGGCATGCTGGGGATCAAACCCGGCCCGTATGTCTGCCCAAGCAGGCACTTTAATCCTGTTTGGCTGGCCCACAGGAAGAAATTAATTAATTCAAATTCATACATTATTCTATAAAATGAGGATTTGCAAACTTTTTCTGTAAAGGGACAAATAATAAAAGTAAATGTTTAAGAGTAGGAAGCCAGCCTTGGTTACAAAGTGAGCTCAAGGCTAGTCTGAACTGCAGAGGGAGACCCTGTCTCAAAAAGGCAAAAAAAATAAATAAATAAAATTGGAAAGCACTATGATCTCTGTACCAACTACCCAATTCTGATGTTATAGGGAGAAAACAACTACAGACAGTAAATAAATATGACTTTAAATAAAACTTTATAGTCAATAAAATTTGAATTTCATGTAATTTTAGCATTTCATGAATCCTGGTTTTAAGTTGTCTATTTAAAAATTTAGAAACTATACTTACTTTTCAGACTGTACATTAACAGGCGTTGAATTGGATTTAGTTACCACACAATAATTTGCCTTTTCCTGCTGTAAAATACCATAGAGTTAGGTAATTCAGACCAGTAGATGAATAAACATTCATAGTTGGCTTTAGAATGTTTAATGTCAAAAAAAAAAAAAGAATGTTTAATGCCACTGTTGATTTAGATCACTATTTCTCATGGTGAGGACTACTATGATTGTCAGAAAAATGTCTAAAAGTGGAATTAAAGATAAATAATTTTATATAATATGTAAGATAAATTATTTGCATTTATCTAAAGTGTAAATTTAGTTCAGTAACCTGTATCTTATTTTGCTAAATCTTGGATCCTTAAGCCATAGAGCACTAGGAATTTATACCTATGTTCTTTATGTATAGTTCTGTGGGAATATTAAATTGTCTTCCACTTTGCTTTAAAAAATTTGTTTTTTCTTTTTGGAAAACAGCTTTTTTTTTTTTTTCCTTTGTATTTTTAAGAAAAGGTCTTACCAAGCAATTCAGGCTGGCCTTGAATTCACTTTGTAGTGCAGGCTGGCCTTGAACTTGCAGTAATCCTCCTGTCTCAGCCTCTGGAGTGCTGTGATTACAGATATGTGCCACCTTGCCTGGTCAAGACAACTTCTTTTGTACTGAGAACTCAAAATTGAAAGAATCATGGGTAAGACAAGCTTATTTAGTAGGTGTTTCTCAAATTGCTAGTTATCAATACTTTTTGAGGTCTGAAAATTCTTTTAAATGGAAATTATGTATTACTCAAGTTTGAGCCATGCCCTGTATGAGATAAGTTTGGGATTTTAGAACACTCCCCTCCATAAATTAAATGCAAAAGTGAGATTGTAAATCTTCTATCTCTCTTCACCCTCCTAGACAGATTTGCATTTGCTACTGGAAATGGTTTAAAACTAAGAACCTTCTGGAATTGATTTGATTTGCTGGATTAAGGGCAGGCTAGATAGCTCATTAGACTAAAGCACCTGCTTAGCCAGAGCACAGGGACCAGGGTTCGATCCCCTGCACCACATGCTGTGCCATCTCCACCCCTGGGGCACGCTGAGAGCGCGACTGAGACTAGGTGGTGGTATGCACCTGTAATCCCAGCACTTGGAGGCTGAAAACAGGAGGATCACTATGAGTCTGATCTGTGTAGTGAGACCCTGATGACCCTGTACTAAATACATTTTTTTAAAAAAAGACTTGATGAATCAACCTAGGATTGAACATATGTAGTACAGGGAAATTGTTGCGCCATATTTACGCACCAGTATTTTTATTTTTATTTTTAATGTAATTTATTTGATGTATTTTTAAATGTATTTTACTTTTTTAATGTACAGGGTCTCACCACACAGATTGTAATGATTCTCCTTTTTTCAGCCTCCCAAACTCTGGGATTACAGGGGCGCACCATCATGCCCAGTTTCAGTCATCTTCTCAGTGTGCCCCCGGGGGCGGGGCTGGCACAGCCCTGTGTGGTGCTGGGGTGCACCAGTATTTGTTGGATACTTAACTACATGGTAGGCACTGAGCTAGGAACAGAAAGCAATAAATGACCATGACATACTGCTCTTATGAAACATACAGTTTGACCTGGGATAGACATTTACTGATTTCTGTAAATCTGTAATCTGGCAGGTAATGACTAAGGAAAGAGGGCCTGGGAGATAACTCAGCGGTCTAGGTGCCTGCCTAGGCAAGAGCAAGGAACCAGGTTTGATTCTGGCTATCACATGCTGTGCTGTCCCTGCCGTGGGCTCACTGAGCCGGCCACCAAGTCCAGGCATGGTGGCACATGCCTGTAATCCCAGTGCTTGGGAGGGTGAAACAGGAGGATCATTCTGAGTCAAAGCTGCATAGCAAGGCTCTGTGCCAAATACATAAATTAAAAAACAAAACAACTAAGAAAAGAATCAGAGGTAAAGAGGACAAAGTACTTAGCAGGTGCTATTTCCACGTTGATGGATTCACCTGCCTCTCTAAGGAGGTACCCTTTGAGTGAAGATCTGAATGAAGGGAAGGATTATCTGGGGAGAGAGATTCTGAATAGTTTTATCAGTTATCCTCTCTTCAGGATGGTTAACATCTGACTGCTTGTACTGAACATGACACCAAGTTCTCAAACAGTAGATAATATGCTTAGTAATTCAGATTAAGGATGGTCAGAGATATTCTCCAAAGGTACAAATACATTCTGTGTTTATTAAAACTTTTTCTGTGAATGATACAAAATTTGTTGCTAAAATGTTAATTTCATATACCAGCCTATTGAAGAGAATTTTGTTGTCACTGTGTTCATTTCTTTACTGTTCCATCAGTAGTAAGATTTTAATTAATTAATTTTTTTTATTACTTTTTTTTTGGTGGAACTGGGGATTGAACTCAGGACCTTGCACTTGCCACGCAAGCGCTTATTCTACTGAGCCATCTCCCTGGCCCCTTACGATTTTTAAAGCAATGGAATAAGTTGTGTGATATTCAAGAGAACGTCCCTTTCTAAAACGTGCCCACAATCCCAGCATTCTGGGAGGCTGAGGCAAAAAGATCTCAAATTTGAGCCCAGCCTGGTCAATTTGAATACTTTGAGACCTTGTCTAAAAATAAAAAAATAAAGAGCTGGGTGTGTAGCTCAGTGCAAAGGCCCTCAGTACAATCTTCAGTATCACATTTTAAAAAAGAAAAAGAAGGAACAGGGAGGTAGCTCTGTAGAATAAGTGCTTGCCTGGCAAGCACAAGAGCCTGAGTTTAACACCCAGTTCTGCCAAAAAAAGGAAAAATTGACCTTGGGGTATTTCTGCATCCTGAGGTTTTTCTGACATTGGTTATATGAGACTCAGTAGGCTTTATTATTTTATTTATTTATTTAATTTTTTGGGTGGAACTGGGGATTGAACTCATGCCCTTGCGCATGCCAGGGAAGAGCTTATTCCACTGAGCCATCTCCCTGGCCCCTCAGTAGGCTTTAGTTGATGAATTCACCCCCAAATAGGGAAAACGTGAAGGTATTAAAATAATATTTTATCTTAGGCAATCCTTTTTTCAAGCAATCCAGTTAATAGATGTATCTCAGATTGCTATAATGTTGGTTTACTAAATTGTTACCTACATGGCAAGCTTCTTTATTGTTAAAATTACTACAAAATTATAGATTCTCAGGTTTTTTTTTTTTTGTTTGTTTGTTTGTTTGTTTGTTTGTTTTGCGGAACTGGGTGTTGAGCTCAGACCCTTATGCTTGCCAGGCAAGTGCTTATTCTATTGAGCCATCTCACCAAGCCCCCTCAATTCTAGTAAAAATAACCTTTGTATTTAATCTGTGACTATGTTTTTGGTTACTTCTAGGAAGGATTTTTGCTGGGAGAGGTAAGACAAGAAGAAACTTTTAGCATCAGTGACTCACAAATTAGCAACACAGAATTTCTGCAAGTAATTGGTAAGTAACTTTATCCTTGACCTTAGAAATACCCTTTTTTACCAGGGATATAGCTCAGTAGTGCAGCACCAGGCCAGGGAGATGGCTCAGTGGAATAAGTGCTTCGCTGGCAAGCACAAGGGCCTGAGTTCAATCCCCAGTTCTGTCAAAAAAAAAAAAAAAGAATTGAATAGTGCAGCACCTACCTGGCAAGTACAAGGTCTTGAGTTTGATTCCCAGTGGAAAAAAAAATAAAAATAAAAATAATAATAATAAATATGCTTTTTCTTTTTTTTCTTGTCTTTTTGAGACAGGGTCTCCCTATTCATTTCAGGCTGGCCTTGAGCTCACTTTGTAGCCCAGGCTGGTCTTGAACTCACAACATCCTCAGCCTCCCAAGTGGCTTACAGGCATGTGACACCATGTCCAGGTCTTAACTGACTTGTTTGTTTGTTTTTTGAGGTACTAGAGATCAAACTTGGACCTTAGCTCATGAGGCAAGAGGCAGGCTCTTACGCTGCTGATCGATCTCCCTGGCTCCTTAACTGATTTTAATATAAAGTATTAAAAGCAAAAATTAATTATTTTCCTGTTTTTATATGGTTTCTGTTTTGTTGTCTCTTAACTTATTTTAATCAAAGGTATTAAAATTATTAAGACATTATTTTCACTAATGAATGATAGATATTTTCTGTTACTGTAAGCTTACATTGCATAGGTACAGGTGTAGATGTTCTAATAAGTTTTTTTTTTTTTTTTGGTGTGGCTGACTCAGCCTACTCTGGGGTAGGGGCTGGTGTAGCATGTATCATGTGGTGCAGGGGATGGAACCGCTCTCCCTGAGCTTGCCTAAGCTTGCCTCATCAGGTGTCTTAGACTCTTGAGCTATCTCTTCAACCCCTAATAAGTTATTTCTTAGCACCAGCTAGTCTTATTAAATTACTGAGAGCGTGTGTGTGTGCGTGCGTGCGTGCGTGCGTGTGTGTGTTGCTGGGGATCAAACTCGGGCCTTAACATTTGCCACTGAGTGCCGCCTCCACTCCAGCTGTGGTGCATGCCTGTATTGTGATTCTCATCCAGGGTATAAACTGCTGGGGCAGTTTGATGACAGGAGTGTGCCTATAGAGAGTTTTTTCTGTGAACTCTGGGTAGTATACTTGCTACAAATGTTCCACATCTCAATGACTAATGGTATCTCTGAAATAACTTATCGTGGTATGCTATGTCTTTTTGTTTTTAAATAAAGAAAAACACATTTTTCTAGATTAGGTTTCCTTTTTTGCATCACTATATAAATGCCACAATTAGGCAAATACATTTTTCCTGTGGAAGTTTTACATTTACATGTACTTTGGCAGCATTAACACAGGCACAGAAGCTAATGGACATAGCCCCATGTCTTTGAAGGCTGTGGTTCATTTTAATTGAGGTAAAATTGCAGTCTGCAACTCTGAGGCTGTAATTTTTTTTTTTTTTTTCTGGCGGAACCGGGGATTGAACTCAGGCCCTTGCGCTTGCCAGGGAAGCATTTATTCCACTGAGCCATCTCCCCAGCCCCTGTAACTTTTAAACAGCAGAAGATGAGTTGCTATCTAGGAGAATGGGGTAAATGGAATTCAATGGTCAGTTAGTCTCATGGTTTTCTAAAAAAACCCGAGGCCCTAAGCCTCAGATGAGTTTGAAGAAATTGTTTGTTCTGCTTAACCACAGCAGCTTTTTAGATGCTGTTGGAATCTGCCTTATAAATGACTTTCTCCCTTGGTACTGGCTGTCTTTGAAAGGGTTAATAGACCTCCAGAGTTCCTTCCTTTTCAAAACACCTGGCCCAAGTTGTCATGAGTTGTTAGTTGGTTATTGATGATAGAGTAGTTAAGACCCTTCTTTACCCAACCTGTCCTCAAGCTTTTATGCACCCTGATTAAATGCTTCCAGTCAGTGGTTATGTTTTCCTGTGATGCTCTGTTTAAGTAGGTAAATTTGAAAAAGGCACACAATAGCAGGCATGTTCCTGAATAAAAGCTTTCAGATGTGTGCTCATCGTGCATGGACAAACTCATTCTGCTGTCTGCTTTGTTCTGAGAATGTGTCTCTGGGTGTAAATGTTAAAAAGCTGCACTGCTGTCATTAGTATATGCATAGTACCTATTGGGGAGAGGAAAACTGTCTTTTTATTGTCTTGAGATTTGTGTTTTTGTTTTTTTTTTAAAGCTTAGCTATTTTATACTTGTTTGTGTCTCACATGACTAAGATCTATGCTTATTTCTAATTACAGAAATCCATAACCATCAGCCTTGTTCAAAACTTTTTAGGTAAGCTACATCCTTCTTTGTAGCTTTTGATCCTTATTTTTAAAATGTATTAAAAACTAAGATTTCTGCCTGTAGCCGCTTTATGGCTATAAAGTTACAATTGTAGCTAGGAGTGCCCAATGATTTATTCATTGAATGTTAACTGTGGGTCTGTGTTAGGTGAGGAAAATGGCAGACGAAGAATTGGGAGTCATGGCCTCAGTGACTTGGAATGAAGGTCTTTTCTCTCAGCCTCCCTATCAAAATCTCTTCAACCTTACAAAATGAAGTAAATCAATGAGTGCCTATTGATAAAATAATTTAATGAGTGTTTTTAAGAGAAATAACGTGTGTTCAGTGGTCATCTTTAAAATGTAAGGCAAGGATCTGGGCACAGTGACATACACCTATAGTCCCAGCTACTTGAGAGGCTGAGACAGAAGGGTTGTATAAATCCAGGAGCTGAAGACCACCCAGGGCAACATAGCAAGACTGTCTCTGAAAACAAAAACCAACCAACCAAATAATTTTTTTTTTAAATAAGAGAACATAAATACCCTCCCACTTGATAACTGGCATAATTTCATATTTCTTTTTTTTTTTTTTTTTTTGTGGAACCGGGGATTGAACTCAGGCCCTTGCGCTTGCCAGGGAAGCACTTATTCCACTGAGCCATTTCCCCGGCCCCTTCATATTTCTATTTTATAAAACTAACTTCAGTGCTACATTTTCACCCCTCCTGGAAGCCAGGGCAGTACTTCCTAGGAGCCGGACATGAGCACCATTTATTATTCATGATCCGCATGTTCTTCCTTCACCTCTGCCAGTCCCTCCTACTATGTGTCCCCTGCAGCTTTTACCCTGGCTATTCTCCAGATACCTCTGCACCCAAACACTCTGGGGATTGGTACCATGTTCACTGTACGTACATACCCCTAAGTGTGGATTGTTGCACCCCTACATGCAAGATGACGGCCTGTGTAAACCTCACCTGTTAAGTTATATATGACTGAAAGGCACACAAAAGCTGGGTAAGCAACCATTGATTCATCTGAAAAGAATTTCAGCAGGTGAAATGATTCAGGCGCTGGTCCAAAATGCTATCAGTTACTTTTCTTATTGCTGACATAAAATACCTGATAGCCAAAGTTCAAGGTGGAAAGGTTTATTTAGCTCACAGTTTGTGGAAGTTTCAGTTAATAATCATCTGGCTCCAAGGCAGTGTAGGCTGGCAGAGGAGAAATAGTCTATGGTAGCCGGCGCTGAAGTGGCAAATGACAAGCAGCCACAAGGTACCATACCTGCCCTCTTTCTGTCCCTTACCACCAGGCTGTACAACCTGAGGGCACCTAGCACTGGCACGGAGGGTGAGCCTTTCAGTTATCCACACCCTGAACTATGTCAAACCAATCAGAGGACTAATCTGGTAATCACACACCCTTAGTCCCAGCAGCACACACTCTAGATTGAGCTACTTCTGAAAAGCCCTGCCTATGATGACATGAGGCTTTGAGGGAGTGGCCTCTAGGTACAAGCCATAACAAATGGCTTCTCTCTGGTCTATGGAAGTATTTAATCTGGCCCTGAGTATGAAAGCATTGCTCCGTGACTACTTTATCCTGAAGAATTCCTGAAAGCACTGTCAGCAAAATAGTACAAGAATAAGACTGAGTTTGAGTAAGACTTAAAATTATTAGAAATGAAAGAAACTATAAATCATTAGTCTCTTCCAAATTCCTTATTTTCTGTTTTAAAAAGGTGGGGAGATAGAGACAAGGTAGGGTAAGTGATTTGTTCCAGATTCTACAGTGAGAAGCAGAACTGGGCCTGGAGCTAGTATCTTCTGAGGAGTCTGTGTTTACTCCTAGATCTTGAACTTCCTACCTTCAGAGCCTAGGCTTGTGGTAGAAGGAACATTCCATTCTTAAGACTGTAACCAGAGATAGGAAAAGGGCAAAAAAATAAATAAGAAAATAAAAAAGGGGCTGGGGAGATGGCTCAGTGGAATAAATGCTTCCTGGCAATCACAAGGACCTGAGTTCAATTCCCAGTTCTGGAAAAAAATAAAAATAAATAAATAAAATATAGTTATGATTTTCTTAGGAAAAAAAAAAAAAGGAAAAGAGCATACATCAGTATACCTGGGCCTTCACCACAGGGTCTTGGTTGCATTGGTCTGTTTTTGAGAACATTGTTTAAAGGTAGCTAGATCTGGGACAGGTCAGTTAACTTCAGTGTCTTTATCTACAAAAATGCATTAAGGTAAGAATGATGTGAAAAATACAAAAATCATGTAGTTGAATATCAGTAAGCAGTCAACATATGTTTATTTCTCTTTATTTTTCAGAAAATTAGCTGCTGTTATCTTTTTTCATAAATAGTTGATACTTAGAAACAAAAGATGTCAGGGCAGGGGAGATGGCTCAGTAGAATAAACGCTTGCCTAGGAAGCGCAAGGGCCTGAGTTCAATCCCCAGTTCCGCCAAAAAAAAACCCCCAAAACAAAAGATGTCATAGTCATTTAAAACCACACATTTTGTAATCACTTGTTATCAGCACCTCCCACATGTGGAATTAGTATCTTTTGAATGTAATGATATCATGAGTATTCTTTAACAAAAAAGATACTTTATATCAGGAAAGTTTTCAGACTGATTTTATATACATGAAGATAAGCAATTATATTATTAGAGTTAGATACACTATAGATACATGTATGTAGAACATCTGTGGCACAGTATTGTGGGATTTTAACAAAATGCTTTTCCTCTTTCAAAAACAGTTTTTATGACTATGCAAGTAAAGTTAATGAAGAGAGTCTGGACAGAATTCTTAAAGATCGGAGAAAGGTATGTTCTATTTATTGCCCATTTTGATAGAGAAGTAGTTTCTTAACACCCAAGCTTGTATCAGTGAGATTGGATCACCCATGCAAGAGTTCTGTTAGGTATGTTCTTTCTTCAAATATTTATTTTTATTAGTACATATTTGCAGTACATAATGATCACATTCATTGTGGGAACTTAAGTAGATTATAAAGGTACATTGTAGGTATGAGACATTGTTTATATTAATATCAATAGGAAGCATTAGATACTTATATGATACTATTATGTAAAAATTAGAAGAAAAAGTGAAGAAAGCTAGTAAGTTCAGTCGACTTTGAGTGGTTCATTCTTTCTGCTATATAATTTAATAATTCTGCAAATATTTAATACATAATGTCTATTTCTTTTTTTTTTTTAAAATACCACACGTTGTCTTTTTTTTTTTTAAATTTATTTATTTGTGTGTGTGTGGCCAGCTCAGCCCACCAGGGGGTGGGGCTGGCTGGCATGTGGTGCTGGGGGATTGAACCATGGTCCCTGTGCTTTGCCAAGCTTGTTCTAAGTAGGTGCTTTAGACCACTGAGCCATCTCACCAGCGCATCTATTTCTTTTTCGTTTTTCTTTCTTTTTTTTTTTTTTTATTTTTGAGACAAGTTCTTGTTATGTAGTTCAGCCTGACCTTAAACTCTCTATATATACCAGGCCAGCCTTAAGCATACAGCAATCCTTCTGCCTCAGCCTCCCAAGTACTGAGATTATAGGTGCTTGCCATCATGCCTGGCCCTTAATTTTATAACCAATAAAAATATTTCTAAAAAACAAAGTACAAGCTGGGCATGATGGTGCACCCTTGGAATCCTAGAAATCTAGGAGGCTGAGGCAAGGTACTACAAACTCAAGTCCAGCTCGGACAACTTAGCAAGATCCTGTCTCAAAGTAAAGTTAAAAGAAACCAAACACATAAAGTACTATCAAACATCTTTGGATATGTCATTGTTTCAAGCCTAACTGAAGCTGAACACAGATGTTTTTCTGAAAGATCATGTGTTTATTATTTTTGCCAATACCTGTGACATTCTGGTTATATGTGGTAAGGCAATCTAAATAAAGTGAAAATGAGCCAGAATTTATTACTGTAATATTTTCTGTTAGCTTCATTTATAATTTCCTGTTTTGCCATGAATGAGCTTTATTTTTTTCCTTAGGGTACAAATTCTAGAAAAATAGATTGATTATTAAGCCATCAGTTGAGGTAAGGGGAATGACAATAAAAGTCCACAAAAGTACAAAATGCCTTTGCTTAAGGGTGTCAGAAATAAGCATATACCGTCCTTTTTAGTGCCACTATTGGGTACATTCTATGTAAAGGAAGAAAGAAAGCAAGTGACAATAAAAGAAAGATGTTTGGAAGGACAGGTTGGAAGAAAAGGAGCCAGGAAAGTACTTGACTCTGGGGGTCCAGCTAGGCTGCCTGCCCAGATGGAAAGGATGTTAGGTGCAGCTGTGTGTGCCACCCCATCTGACTCCAGTTTTAGTGATTTCCCAGGAGCGCTTTCTGGAATCTTCTAGCAGTTCATTGCCCATCTCCTAGAAGCTACTTTACTTTCTCATTTACATTCTTTTTTTTTTTTTTTTTTTTGTATTTTAGGGAAGGGTCCACAGGGTAGGGTGTTCCGCGTCTTACTACTAGATTGGACTCGTAGTGATCCGCCAAGAGCTGGGATTACAGGCACATGCCACCACGCCCAGTGTTTCATTTACTTTCATATTTTAGCTTGGAAACCATTTTTATACTTTCTAAAACTAAAGTTTGTTCACTTGAGGCTGTCTTTTCTTTTGCAATACTAGGGATTGAACCCAGGCAGGGCCTCATGCATTCTAGGTAAGCATGCTACCACTGAACTATATTTCAGCCCTTTTGGAAATTATTACTGATTCATAGCTTTATGGAGCACTTGGTATGTATTAATAGTACCAGGATGTAGTTCAGTGGTAGAATACCCCTGCATTGAATCCCCATTACTGCAAAAAAGATTATATATAGAGAGAGGAGGAAAGGGAAGGAGGGAGGAAAGAAAAAAGGAAGTTAATTCATGAGAAAAGAAATGTAGAAATGGCCAAGGAATAAATGAAAAGATGTTCCACTTCAATCAAGAAACACAAATAGAGGACTGGTGAGATAGCTCAACAGAACTAAGCACCTGCTTTGGCAAGCACAGGGACCAGGGTTCAATCCCCAGCCCCACATGCTGCACACCGCCCTGGCGGGAGGCAGCCACTGAGCCAGAAACTGAGTCCAGGCATGATCACGCACGCCAGTGATCCTAGCACGGGGAGGCTGAAAATAGGCGGATCACTATGAGTTAGAGCGTAATGAGAGCCTATAACAACCAAATACATTAGGGAAAAAAAGGAAGGAAGGAAGAAAAGAAAAGAGCAAAGCAAAGCTAGAATTGCCAGAGATAGCTCAGTGGCTTAAGTGCCTGCTTGGCAAGCTCAGGGTCCTGAATTTGCTCCCCAGTGCCAAAAAAAAAAAAAAAGAAAAAGAAAAAAGCTGGAACTAATGAACAGCTTAATTCTGTGCCAGGCATCCATTAAGTATGCAATCTTTACAACACCCTTGGGAAGCAAATTTGTGACTGTACATTTGAAGAATCTGAAGTTAAATAAGTTTCTTAAGATCACCAGCAATTAATGGCAGCATCAGCCAGGTGTGGTACAGGATTCTGGCAGACTGAGGCAGGAGGATAGAAAATTTGTGCCTAATCTGAGTAATTTAGTGACTTTGTGAAATCCTGTCTCAAACAAATGTAAAGAAGACTAATGATACAGCTTATTTTGAAGGCTCTGTGTTCATTTCCTTGTACTATACTACATCCCCCCAAATGAAAAGGTAGACCCACAATTTAAACCAAAGCCTATTGAGCCAGCTTGTAAAAGGATGTTTATTGCTTTACTTTGTTGTTTAGTAGTAAGGATTTTGCTTTTGTTTTCTTTTTGAGACAGGGTCTCACTGTATTGTTCAGGCTGTCCTTGAACTCA